GGCCCCGCACTTTGGGAAGCTCTGCCTTAGTCATTCCACTGTGTTTTCCTGTCATGTAGGGGTTGTCCTCTCCAAAGCTCAACATTATTAAAGTGTGGTATCATCTTGACAGAGAATGGAACAAAAGACGGCTGCCATCCAAGAAAAGCTTATGTTTGCATATGTTTCAATAAATCACTGTGCCTGTTTTGCATTTTCAACATAAAGGCATAAAAGCATTAAGGAATAGGGCGGGGGCTGTGCCCACTTATTCTACTGAACATATTGCGTATCCATTATAGGACATTGTTTCCTGTACAGTTACTCCGACATAGTAAACTACCAGTACGAGTTTAAGCACCAGTGAACTACTGATGAAAAGCCCTTTGAAGAGAGGGCTTCCTGATGTAAATTACGCATTATCTAGTCCCAAGATCAGGTCTGTTGTTGAATCTAACAAAACTATGTATGTGATCTATTTCTAAGGGGTCTGTGGAGCCCATGCAGATTGATGCAGATCCCCAGGAGGACCAGCAGAATGCTCCAGACACCAACTATATTGTGGAGAACCCCACACTGGTATTGTCTCACAAACTGTTACATATATCCCAATATCTCTTATTTTATTTGTAATGTTTAATGTGACGCAGATTCCTGCTGCTAATTGATTCTTGTTTCTGTTAACTGTTCTGGGTGTGAATGAACGAAAGTTAGCTAAAAATCCTTGTACATGCGGAGCTATATCATCCACTGATGAAAGTGTTACCTGACTGTTTAATCGAAGTAGTTCTGACATGTTTTTGAACAGATGTTTCACTCCTTGTCTGTGCAGGATCTGGAGCAGTATGCGACCAGTTATAGTGGATTAATGCGTATTGAGAGACTGCAGTTCATTGCTGAGCACTGCCCTCAGCTCCGAGTGGAGGCCCTGAAGATGGCGCTCACCTTTGTTCAGAGGACCTTCAATGTTGACACTTACGAAGAGATTCACCGCAAACTCACAGAGGCCACACGGTATTCTTTCTAGTCCTCTCCCAGCAATTGGGTGCTTCCTTTTGGACAGAGCTGCTTTTTTTTTTTTTAACAAGACATTCCCAATTCCTTAAATCCTTAAATCCTGCGTTGTAGCAAAGAACAGCATGATTCAAACAGTACAAACAAAAACTTAGGTGTTGTATATCACATGTGCTTCATTATAGATAAGCAAAACCGCATTGCTGCATTTAAAATTAGGCTTGGAAAGTCTTAACTCCCAGCCTCCAAATTGTTCAATTTCTAGATTTGTAAATATTTCTGTGTGATTTTTTTTTTCTTTCTTTTTCTTTCTTTCTCCTGGGCTCCACCTATAGGGAAGTGCAGGGTGTGCCAGACACAGTTCCTGAAGGAGGGGTTGTTCCCCCTCCCCTGGACTCAGCTTGGGCTGAATCGACCAGAAAAAAGGCTCTGCTTAAACTAGAGAAACTAGATACGGATCTTAAGAACTACAAGGGCAACTCCATCAAAGAGAGCATCAGGTGTGGTTGCAAAAGCATTACTGTTAATCTAAAGTTTAAGCTTAAGACCAACTGAACATTGAATAAGATCAGTAATCCAGCTAAGAAGCAGAAGGAGAGGTGCTGTCTCAGTCTTTTTTGCTGGAACAATAATAAATATATACAAAACTAGTGAGGGTCAAAGTTTTTTGATGAGCAGATTGGTCATTTTCAGATAACATTGTTTTTGTGGATGTCTGCCGTCTCCTCACCTTCCATCCCTTCTCCCCAGGAGAGGCCATGATGACCTGGGGGACCATTATCTGGACTGTGGTGACCTCAGTAATGCTCTGAAGTGCTACTCTCGAGCCAGAGACTACTGCACCAGTGCTAAGCATGTCATTAACATGTGTCTGAATGTCATCAAGGTACAGCAGGAAGGAAGCACAGTGCTCTGCTGCTGCAGTCACTGTTTCCATTGACACAATTGTCCAGGGATTATTAGCCTTATAACAATTCTTATTACAATTGAGAGATGAAGTTTATATTGAACTTAGAAACCTGGTTCTGGCAAAACTCTGCACATCAGAAAAGTATATGAGTATTTGCCCAAGATGTTTCACTTTACTGAAATCTGTGTGCACGTCAGCACTTCCAGACTTTCTCCCAGCTATAGTACCCAGTACACAGACCTATATGTACTGGGAACTATATAACTTAGACTGAATTGTGCCAAGACACTTTCAGTGTCACTGTAGTTTTCTACAGATAGCACTTCAGCCAATTAACAGAATTCGAAAACCTGGAAAAGTTGTTACACACAACAGAATCTTTTGGGTTATTTTTGCTTGTTTGTTTGTTTTTTACAGACATTGAGTTGTCTGATTAAGCACGTGAGTAAACAAAGTCTTTGTGACTTAAATTGTGCGTTCACAGGTTAGTGTTTACCTCCAGAACTGGTCGCACGTGCTGAGCTACGTCAATAAGGCAGAGTCCACACCAGAAATTGCAGAGGTGAGCACAGTTTACATACTTCAGCATCTCTTTTATTTTATATATTGTGTCCAGCCTTTTATGAAGAGTAATAAAATATTTATAGTAAATTTCTTCTTTTTGCTCTCCTCCCCCCCTAAAAGCAAAGAGGAGAGCGAGATAGTCAAAATCAAGCTGTCCTCACCAAATTAAAGTGTGCTGCAGGTGAGTGTGTGTGTGTGTGTGTGTGTGAGAGAGTGATTTTTGAAGAGGTTGCTTTCTGTTAACCAAGATTGGTCTTGTATTTATAAAGTTTGGAAAAATGTGACCTGATTTCCAGTATATTGTTCATCTTGCTTGTTGGTACATCAGGATTGGCCGAGTTGGCCTCTCGAAAATACAAGCCAGCTGCCAAGTGCTTCCTGCAGGCTTCCTTTGACCACTGTGACTGTCCAGAGGTGAGCTCGTACATGAAAACTGAAGATGTAACATGCAACATTGCACTGGGTGTTGCACTAAAGCATTAGCATCTCAGATTTTAAAAAAAGGAACATCACCCACATGTCTTCTATCCTCTTTCATTTGTAACCATGTATTAGTAACTTACATGGTTACATGTACACCTCAACCAGTGTGTTTGGATCCTAAAAATGTAGGACATAATATGAGCATCTATGCATGAGTCTAATTGCTGGGAGAAATATCATTATGTGTATTCCCTGCAGCTACTGTCGCCCAGTAATGTAGCTGTGTATGGGGGCTTGTGTGCTTTGGCCACGTTTGACAGACAGGAGCTTCAGCGCAACGTCATCTCCAGCAGGTAGGCTGGTGTACAAATAATTCTTGGATAGAAATCAGTTCTAGTGATGGACAGCAATCCATGCTAATACTTTGTATCTGTTTTTTTTCTTCCTAGCTCCTTTAAGTTATTTTTAGAGTTGGAACCTCAAATTCGTGACATTATCTTCAAGTTCTACGAGTCTAAATATGCATCCTGTCTCAAGCTACTGGATGAAATGAAGGTTAGCGCATGAAAGGTTTTTAAACTAACAAAAAACTGGCCATTGTTTGGGTCCTGGGCCACATCTGGTCCTTTAGTTGTCCCTTACTGGCCCTTAAGAGGTCAGTGGGTTAGAATTCAAATGTATAAAGGTATACATCATGCAAGTTCTGGTAGCACAAATTACTGTGCTTAAGGATTGAATTTTGAGTCTCCATTGCAAAACTAAACATTCAGAGAAATACAAGAACTTCACTCACTAGAAATGGAAAGCTGAACCTTTGCTAGCAGGTAGTGTTGTTATGTCTGACACTGAAGCCCTGAGGCCCGTGTAGAGCCGAGGAAGCCTGTGTCATGACCCGTATCTTTCCTCAGAATATCACTTGACCAAAGATAAATGAGGCCCTGTTTGAGCTGATGAAAAGACACGGGAAGTACATTTTTGCATGAACTGGATCTGAGGTGATTCTGAGGATCATAATGAGCTTGGAAGGAGATTGTAAGCACATTATGGAGCCACCAAAAAGGCAAAAAATATCAGCAGTTTGGGAGCATTTTGATATGCTATCGCTCAATAATAACAGATCTTCTCACAGATGGTTAGAGGTGTATGTGTGTATATTATACAGCACTTCATATAGCTATTCTACAACTGACACATCATTACGTTTGCATATCCACTGGTATGTGTTCCACATCTATTATCACAGCAGGGCTGCTGTACATCGAATGACCAGCAGATGTCAGTACTTCCAAATAAGCAGTTGAATGGTGTGATCTGCCTGTAGGCAAATAACTGTCCAGAAAGGTTCAACAGACTGAAAGGGCTTCATCACACTATCACTACAAACACACAACACTAACTCATTCTCTGAATTTATCAAAGTGTGTTTGGAAGAATATGAGAATGGGCCCCTCTCCAAGATAGACTGAGGACAGTGCAGGAAATCTGGAGCTGTGGTTGAAAAACAAAGCAGACCCTAGTTCTGGACGAGAGCTATGATATTTATGCAACTCAGTTACTCAGTTTTGTTAATTAACTTTAAAATGAACTTGGAGCTGAAAATAATTTGAGTTTTGCACTGTATAAAACAACAGGATGTGTTGTGTATATCAGTGCTAAAAATTAACCATGTTGTTGATGAGGAACTGTAGCTCATGAGGTGAAGCAGGTCATCTAAACGTGCTACTAATCCTGTAATCACTGGTTGCTTCTGTCTGCATACCACAGGGGTGTCAAACTCAAATACACAGTGGGCCAAAATTCAAAATGGAACAAAGTCGCGGGCTAACGTTAATATTTATTG